TCCTTTAAAAAGCTTAAATACAGGGTGAAACAGGAATTACCAGCCAATAATAGATGAACATTAGATGACTGTAACATGTAGATAGTCAATGCTTTGTACACTATACAAACGGTGTCTTTTAGGGAGCCAACCACTATATTAAGTATGAAGTGAAGGAGTAAAAAAAAAGAAATTAATACACTTAATATTAAATTTTATTACATACACACACACACACATTCGTAGAATAATTACTTTAAAAGACACAAAGGTTTATTTAAAGTGATGTTTTAGATGTATATGTTTTATTTGAAAAGGCTGCTTTTCTACTAGCAAAATATGTGCTTAATGGAGTTGTGTCTTAGTCTAGGCATATATTTGCCCATTGCTATGCACAATACATAGAAAATTTAGTTAAAAAGAAATTATAAATGCTCACAACATTCTCAAACAAATAGTCAATAGGTACAGTAAATCATCATGAACCATATCAGCTAGCTACAAGCTATTTTTTATTATCATTACAACGTAGAAAGTTAGCTACCATATCAAGTAATCCTCTGCACATAGTTGAGCATAAAAAAGCCAACAAACAAGATAAATAAAAAAATTGGAAATTTAAAAACCTGCAAATAAGGATCATTAAAAAAGTAAGGAAACATGGGTGGGAATACTGTAAACATTATTTACTCAACTACAAATCTCTATTTTGACTCCACCAAATGTAATTCTAGGTAACAGCATGGAGCCAAAATATGGGTTTGTAGTTAGAGTAAATGATGTCTACAGTATCTCCAGCCATGTTTCCTTACTTTTTTACGATCTCTATTTGCATATTAATAAATTACCAATTATTTACTTATCTTGCATATACTATATGACTGAGAATGATACATACTGTATGCTCCATCATACACACTATATGACTGTGGCTGTCCTAAACATAATACTAAAGATGTGTGATGAAGGTTCACACAGTAAGAAATGCTTATTAGATTGGAGTTGGAAGATCCAGAAACCTAAAACCTGTTAATAAAGTGATGGATTAATACTATATCATAAAATAACACATTTTAAAGTTCAGATCCTCTTAAGTCAATCGTGGTCTCATTCTAAAGATACAAACTCAATCTTTACCTGCATGATGTGCTTTGGACACTACAGCTTAATTAAACCAGACTTTACTAGATTATGAAGTTAGATGAAGTAACTACTTATAGTTTCATTATGGTACAGAACAATCTTATGGAAAGAGAAATCTGTTGTCAATATTTTAACCATGTACAATATTCATTTGAAATTTTTTTTTTTCTTTACAGCAATTTTAACCATTTCCTTATGATTCCTGATTTGCAAAACTAACACCCCAAGTGTTAGTTCAAAGTCTGTGTTTATAAAGCAGAAGGCTATCATAAAAATCTATTTTACAAAGTTAAGTAGAAAAATGTATTACAGCGTATTAGCTAATAAAATTACATTGATCAGAGAAGTTGAGGAAAACTAGTTAATTAGACTGTAGAGTGGCTGGGTGCAAAGAATCAAAGTTTTTATTAAAGGCGTCCAGTCAAATGGGACCTTTGTTTAAGTGACCAGTATTTGTGACATTGCCTTTTCTTATTTACGTTAAAAAAAATTAAATAAGAAAAAAAGCAAAAGCATTCCTTTGGAAATAAAGGTCATTGACAAGGGTATAATTAGTAGAGCCTGCTGGTGACATTAAACTCATGGATATTTCTAACTATAATGAAGATGTTAATGTAATATAAGTTGACTTAAATCAATTAGTAAGTTGGACAAATATTTGGCAAAAGACTAATGCAGTGGATGTTATCAAATTGCAATCACACATTTAATATAGATGGGAACTCGTTCTACAGCATGATTTTAGCATAGTGGTAGATAAATCACTCCAGCCATTGAGGAAATGCTTGGTTACTAGTAGTAAAGCTAATAACATTTTAGGATCTATTCATTTAAAGACATTAAGTACAAAAATAATACATCTTTATATACAAATCATTAGTTAGGCCTTAATAAGAAACTGCACACAGTTTTGGTCTCCTTGTTTAAGAAAAGATATTAACTTATTGGAAGTGATTCAGAGAAGAGATACTAGGATAATTCTGGAGATGGGTTATCTTATGGGGATAGGTTAAGGTCTCTTAACTTATTTTCTCTTGAGGAAAGAAAGGTAAGAGGTGATCTTACTGAAGTTTACAATATTATTCAGTCTCATTTTTTTGTACTATATTCTGAAGCCAATATGACACAAGTTAAAATAGTTTTATTTTTTCTAACAGGGTGACTGATTTATGGAAAGTTATATTAAACAGTAGTGTAAGCTAGCAACTTACAGGAGTTTAAGGGGAGAATCAACAATTTCCTGAAAAACAAAGGGTGAGTTTAAATGTTTTACTTTCCTCAAGGAAGAATGTATAAGGACAGCCTTGATGGAACAAAGTAGTCTTTGTTGTTCATATAGTATTATTAAAATTAACAAAAATCTGCTATATGTTACACCAGTTCACTAAATAGTCTAAATTTCTCTACAAAACTTCAGGATATTTTATTAATTTCAAATACTATTTTATTCAATATTACTGGTTATTCCACTATCAGTGTCATTAATGAAAATGTGAAATAGGAAACGAGTAATACAGAATTATGAGGTACACCATTAACATTAATCCACTGTGACTTCACATTTATAACAACCTTCTGTTTTCTAAACCAGCACTCAACCCTTTTAACTAATTTATTTCATGTCCCAACAAATGTATCAGGGATCAAAACATTACATTCCCAAGGAATTTAACTTTGCTTAAGAAATTTAATCTTTTTAATTGGCTTTCCAGATCAGGAATGCATGGTCCAATGAAAATGAACATATTGCATGGATCAAATAAAATTAAAGAAATGCAACTTTACATGAGGGAATGTAATCTACCTAATAGATTTCCCTCGAGCAAATATAATTTTATTTCATTATTTCTATCCCTTTTCCTAGTAAATCTTATGTGAGCTGACTCAAAAAAACCAAGTAAATAAAATCAACTGTATTTTGCATACTCACGTTAAATTATAAATGTAACATTCAGGGGCACCACTAACTACTGAAAAGATTCGGGACTTGGGCCCCAAGAAGCAGCTACCACTTAAAATAAAATAAAAAATAATGTAAGTGTAATTGTATTATTTTAATTTACACGTACAGATTTAAGAAACTATGAAATACATTTTGGCACAGACCTTGTGCTTAGCTATGCCCCTATTAACATTTCCTGAGAAAGTTTACAAATTCGTGAGACATAATCTTCCCTTCCTGTATCCATGCTCTCTCTATGTATATGTAACAACAATAAATGACTAGCTAAGTGCTCAGTGGTAGTATTTATTTCTCATTGAGAAAAAATGAATTTTCCAATTTCTTTCTCCACAAATGAAAGTGAGAAATGATCGGTTGTTTACAGTACACTGTACTATGGCTAATTTATTGTAGTTTTCAGGCTTCAACTTTCATCATGTACAGTATGAATGAGTAGGTTAGACAACAAATGTTTACATAATTAATGTATACTTATTTATAACAACTGACAATGTTCTTGTGTATTGAATTATTTATGTATCACTGATTCTTATAGTTATACGGTTAACTATATTTTTAGTTTCAATATCAATGATTATGTACGGTGTTATTGTTAATATAGAATGTAGATGATCAATCATCGATTCAATGTATTTTATGTAACAGATAACGGGCATAAATATTTATATTAAGCCAGTATTCTAACTCTGGTAGTTTAATTTCTACATCCCCCAAGTCTAACAAACTATTTCAAATTGCACAATTTTCTATTAATTAATAACTAACAATATTAAAAGTGTTCTATTGACTACGCCCATAATTTTATTCAACTGATGAACATGGGCACTTTATAAAAAAAAATCAATCATTAAAAACCAAATACCTCTTTTTTCTTTGAATTTCCATTTATCTGCGATACAAAAGTGGCAAAAACGGAAATAATCAAAATTAATCTGAATAATTTATAGGACATGTTTATTTTAATATCAACACCGGCTAACCTCACCATCTTCCCGAAGTGACTACAACACGTCAACATAGCGAATGCACTGCCACTCATGAGAGGTATGTCCTATCATTCTGATTGGTCACAGTACTTTAACGTCATATAGTTATTCGTTTGTTTTCTAGCGCAAACCTACAGGATAGGATACCTGCTTTCTATCCCAAGCGTGGAATATAACTCTGGATATTAGTGTTGTAACTCCGTAAACTTACCGCTGACACACCAGGGGAACGTCATAGTAATAAACAAATTAAATTCGTGAACATCGTGCAACCAGGCAGTATTCGTTCTACAAGTGATTGTAACTTATATCAGTTTCATATATATTTTTATTAAAATAAGATAATTTTTGATCTGTGGATGTTTCTTATACATCCTTAGTGAAATAGATCGTTTCGTAAAATATAAGATCACGAAATACGAAAGTTCATAAAGTTCATTTCCAATTTAAGTCGAGAATCAGTGATATCCTGATGTCCATTATGACGTATCAAGATATTTAAAAATCTGCCCTGGCCAAAGGCAATATTTTCATCTAGACTTACTACATATATTTTAACATACGAATCATAAAACTACAATCATATCTTTGGTGGTATGGTATAGGACAGAACCATATTCTTGCTACCCCTTAGGTGATATGTAAGTTAATCGAGATTTCTGTATTTTCTTTCAGTTTCATTTGGACGAAGAAAATCATTCAAGTAGATATCTAACGTTCCTAGTTCACTAATTTGTCATTAAACATGTATTCTTACAGAAAAGATAGCTCATAATGTTCCAAATTAGACGGCTGTCTTTTCTGTTGGCAAGTTATGTAATGGTCTAATGTGGAATTTTCAGGCGAAACTGATTTACCAAAAAATATTAGATAAGCTAATAACATCAAAGAAATAATGGGAATGTTCTATCGTTAACAACTGGAGTCAGTGTTAAGTTGTGTGAGAAATAAACAGATTGGACACATTTAAATAACAGCGAAAACAATATTTATTTAGACATAAAAAAATACTGTGCATACACGCATGGACACTAGACAATCTTCTCTACTGAATTAGTGAATAGCTTGCCAGTTACAAAACTAATCATAATGAAAGCCAAGTAGAATTGAACTAAGAAAGTGCACCTGGATCCAGAATGTTTACTTAAATTATTTGTGCAGTGGTCGGTTTCATCTGGTGACCTCTGTTGCCTGAAAGCATTGGCTGGTTGTCTAATTCAGTCAATATCATAATCTGCCAAAAAAGGATATTTCAGTGCTAACCTGTTCAACCTGGATCCTACAAACAATATTTAAATATCCCTGTGGGCAGAGGAGACGTCACCTACAAGAGAACAAAGGACAAAGTTGCTAAACTAGATAATGCTAGCAACTCCAGACGATATTTTGCTGCCATGATATTGCAGAAACTAAAAAATCAATAATTTGGTATAATTCTATATTGCTGTAGTAAATAAGAAACCCATGACATACTGTGTATCACACTAGGGCTACCACACCTTTGCACTTTAAGAGCAGTGGAAAAAGATCATGTGTAAGAAGAGGAATTGGTGAGCAGCCTGGCTGTGTAAAGATAATGTCAGTATATAAAACCTGGTTAGGATTTTGCTCTAGAACATTCTGGTGAAATTTGTAGACTTAATTTATACTTTGTTTAGTTTTAAAATTTTATTTTAAGTCATTAAAGTGGGGCTGACACTGAACAAGTGAGAAACAGCTCACTGAGTTTTCACTTCATCTCGCTCTCTCACTAGTCCAACACACTCATTACAAAAACACTTGATCTTATTTTGTTTTAGTGTATTGCTTTTGTCTGTCCGATTTTTGTTAATAATGATTGGGATTTTACATTTTGTGTTTTGATTCTTTCTTGAAGATAACCTCAGTTGAAGTTCACAGTGTAATGAACCAATACTCTTTTACTTGATATCCATTGGACCTCCAATTAATTAAAAGACCCTAATCTTACTCTGCTGTAAATCTGTGCTCCATAGTAGACCACAACTGGCACAATGGTAAGATCAAATTTTATTATCAATATTAAGAATACTTTTGTTATTCTCATGTTTATTCAATGAGTTGTTCTAATGCCTAAACTATACAATAAGTCCAGAAGTATTATAATACTGTTACGTCTCCGTTTGTTAATTAACTTTCCGTAACTTCGTTCCGACGAAACTTTAGCGACACAAGTCTTTACTTAATAAAACTGGTTTATTCTTTCCGAATACAACTTTACGATACACTTATTTTCAACAATCACGCTAAAAAAAACGCTATAAAGAACGTTAACTTCAACGATACTTTCTCACTGACTGCAGTTCAATTACTCACACATCTACACATACATTATTGTTCCGTCACGTTGTCACCCTCTTTTATATACCAGCCTACCCTATATCTAGTAAATACTAGAGCATTCGCCAAGGATAGTTCTAGAAAATAGGTGGCGCCACACCAGGTACGTGACCTCGATGACGCAACACTGCCCCTCCTTAGTATTGTTCGTCCCGAACAATTGCCACTTATAATAAACCAATAAATTAACAATAACTTAATTAAAATGTACAGAATTACAAACACAAAATTACAATTCAACAAAGTCTCTTCTTCCGTACTGGTCTCCGTTTCGTTGGCTTCTGCTTCATGTGGGGTTCATCTGCTTCATCAGTAAATGTCCTATCATCGGTAACAGTCACATCAGTGGTAGTAACTTCATCAAGAGCTTCACCGTTTCCCTTCTCAAAACTGAGTAGAGTTTCCTCTTCGAGGGTGGCTTCTTCAGGTGGCACGTCTTCAGCAGCGTCATTTGTTCTGTTTTCCACTTCGTCCCAACTGAAATGTACTGGACCGTGATAACTTCCAAAGCCTGTTGGCATGCACCACTTTTGGCTTACCGCGCCGACCACATTTTATCCAAACAGTCACGTCTGAGAGACGATCCACTATGTCATATGGGCCTTCCCATGGAGAAGACAACTTAGGAGACTTCCCTTTGGTCTTCTTGGGATTATACAACCATTCCTTGTCTGCTGGTACAAAGCTGACATCAGTATATCTCCTATCATAAGTTAACTTCATCAAATCAGCAGACGTTTTCAAGTTTGAACGCACTTGATGGTGGATATCATCCATCCTTTCCGATAACACTTTCACAAATTCAGACACATTCTCAGGCAACTCTTCATAAGGTGGGCGTCCGGTTAACAGATCCACTGGCAACCGTAGTTCCCGACCAAACATCATCTTTGCTGGAGTGTATCCAGTGGTTTCATGCTCTGCTGTCTTATAGGCCATCAACAGTGGAGGGAGTATGACATCCCAGTCATTTTGACGGCTATTATAAAACTTTGCCAATTCCTGTACCAGTGTCCAGTTGTACCTTTCTACCATCCCATCAGACTGTGGGTGAAGTGGCGTTGTTCTGGTCTTTCAGATGCCAAACAACTTGCAGCATTCTCGGAACACAACTGATCCAAAGTTATGGACTTGATCTGAATGCAGTTCATATGGCATACCAAATCTGAAGAAGAAGACGCTAAGAGCCGGAGCTATAGTTGTAGCTTCCTGATTTGTTATCGCATATGCCTCAGGCCACTTGGTTAAATAATCCATCACCACACAAATGTACTTGTTTCCAGCACGAGTTTGGGGCACAGGACCAGCAATGTCGACGGCACCAACTTGATATAACTTCATTTTAGCACGTCTCTTATCCTTGGGCCCTTTTTTAGCACAGCATGTACTGCATGTTCTGTCACCACTCTTCCACATCTTGTCTCATACCTATCCAGTAAAATCTGTGTC